TCAGCTGCAAGTTTTCCTATATGGGGAACATGCGAAATAAAAAAAAAGTCGAACACTGGGATGAAGAAGGTAAATTTACAGACGTACCCATCTGTCTCAATGCTTCGCTGCGTTGGTCATCCTCAAGTTGTTCTAAAACAATTAGCAAAGCAGTTAATTGGATAAAATCAACCAAATATATCGAGAGGCAAAAAAAGACTACTACCAAAGAAATGAAATAAACCATTCGTTTCATGAAGGCCGAAAATCTCTGTAAAGAGAAAATAAATACTTAAGCTTGGAAGATACATAAATAGAACTCGCTGCAGGAAAAATGATAAGTATTTCGCACCAATCATTTCCATGAATTCCGAGATGTCGTCCGCCTCGAGGTTGCCTACAGGAAACAAGTTTATTTCATGTTCTGAAGGCCACCATGCAAAAATAAATGAATAAATGTATATGTTGAACAAAGGCTTTGATACCTTCCAAGGCAATCTTCGCCAATAGCAGGTAGCCTTTCCCTGTATTATGGGAAAAAAAAACGAAAGCGCTATAATTCTGGCGTTCAAGGAAACTTAGAGAGGGGGGGGATATACAAGAACCAAACCACTGATATCGAAGAGTTTCTGACGTTCCTCCTTCTCCAGTTTGTCTGCACAGAAAAAAATTGAGCAAGTAGACAAGATCTTGAAAATATGAATTCAAAATATGAAAAAAGTATCCATACGAAAAATTCTGGAGATTTTTTCAGTACCGGTGATGCCCAGCTCCACTGAAACAAATGGTCAAATAAAAAAATTGGCAAGATAACACAGCAACTAGGAGAAAGAAACGCCTACCGCATGCAGCAAAGAGGTTTCCGAGGCCAATCTGAAAGAACTTGACTGCGAAAATAAAATAAATAAGTGGAGATATAATATCTTAAAAACATCTTACATGTCAGAAGAATACAACTTAAGGTACTACGGGAACGTAAAAATCGACACCCCTGAATCAAAATTCCGCGCTATAATTGCTGTATGGGACCTCAAGAAAGGGCCTTGGAGCCGATTGCTGGCTCTCTCAGGTCACCCCAGGGGCCAAGATCTGTGGTCAAAGGTCAAAATTTGCATGCTTCTCTTTGAAAATCTCCATCTCCCCAACCCTTGGCCGCAGAAACGTGAAATTTGCACCATTCTCCTTGAGACATAGAGCGCTATATGGGAAATATAAATAATCGTAGGCAACTGTCGTTCCCGAGACGCCATGCCGCCATAACTGAGAATTTTTCTGTTTTCGGATTCAGTTTTTTCGTTCTCATTCCTCGTAGAAATTTTCTATCGGCAAAAGCATGCTCCAGTTTTTGGAGGCTAATACGGTCCACCTTTTTGCGGAGTTGCGCATGGTTTCCTCCTACCGTTCCCCCTCAGTGTTCGGTGATCCGCCTGAATATTCCACTTTTTTGGAAGGGACGTGACGTTGACGGACGATACTCTATAACGAGGCTGAATTTCAAAAATTCCTCTTAGATCTCTTTAAAAGTCTCTTGGCTAGCTTAATATCCATTTTCATGAGAATCCGTCCACTATCCTTGAAGCCTATCGATTTTTCCTGCGGCCTCTTTTAACAATTTAGGTAATTTCTTCCATTCCGGGTCGATTTTCTCTTCTCTCTGCCAAGAATGCAACATTTTTTGTGCCTATCCCATAGAGGGATGTTTCACGGATCTAGTGACACCAAGATTGCCTACTGTCTCCAAAGGGATAGAGAATGCGAGGCTTTAATTACCGATTTGCATGAAAATTTGAATCCTCGCGCGCAGCTCTTCCTTCTTTGACTTCCCTCCCATTTCACTCTCCCATGTTCCTTTGAGACCATTTCGCACTCACGCACTTCCCCCTCGCCTGTCTCTTTCCTCATTTCGCCAGTCCCACTGTCTCCTGCCACTGACCTTCAATGGAAACGAGGGCCGCCGCTCTCCCTGTGAGATACTAAAGGGAATGAATTATATCTTTGACTCGTGTATTTTCGGTATCAATCCTTGTGCAGGCGGTACACAGCCTAAGGCTCCAAGGGTGACGATGTTCATGAGCTACCTGTTATTCTAGGTAATGATAAATCGAATTTGTGATGTTCACAAAGGAAATTTGGCAACGTATATCCCCCCTCCTCCCTTCAGATAGCTATGTCCACACATCTCCCTTTTCTGAAATTTCTGCATATTTTGCTCAGTGCCTTCCTTTTTTGGAAAGGATTGAAATCTGAGTGCAATATGTTTATGGCATCCTTCAGATTGTTAATGAGAAAATCGATTCTCTGGGGTTCAATATCTGTGAATACATGTATTGGTGGGTCCCGAGAGAAGTACTGAGTGTGGTCGCTCATGTCACCTTCGACGAATAGATAGCCATACGTCCTTGCTAAATTTGCTACTTGATAGTCGTTTGACGGGTCGAATGAAAACACAAATCGGGAACAGTTGGCCACATGGACCCCAAAAAGCGAAATCGAAAAATGAAGCAATCGAATTTCGAACGAAGTGCATAGATTGAAACTGACTTCAAAAGTCATAGACAACGAGCCCCTAATACGAAGAATTCGAATTTTCAAACCAATTTCCCGATTATCATTTCAACCACTGAAATGATCATCCATACGACTTTAAAATGCCTCTTTGTTGAACTGTATACCAATGCTCATGCGCCTTGGATAGGGCATTTCGAAGAAAAGTAACGAAATGTACTAGAAATCGAGACAAAAAACGCCACTCCCAAGGGTTTTTCCTTTTTTTTACCTTTATAGCCTAATACATGTCCTCTGATTACTTGATTGATACAAGTTTCTGGATTGCAGGGACGCATTTATAATTTGTTAGAGATATCCATATTCCCATGGAATTTTCATGTCAAGCGAACCGTTTCTAGCAGGACTGCTGCCTCCACCTTCATTTGACCGGACTCTAATGCCTCCTAGGGTGTTTGTGCGGAAAATCACCGCAAATTTCGGAAATGTCGACGCCTGAAGCATCATGATTTCTGCCCATATCCCCTCGGGAAAATCCCAGTCTAGCTCATAAAGTCGGATGGGTCAGGATTTGGGTGGGTCTTTCCAGAGGCTCACATCAACATCTCTCCCTGAAAATTGTTAAAAAGGGAGGAAAACAGGAGAGGTACCATCTTTACTCATACATGATGTTGGATGCCTCGCGAGTAGAAATTCTGATGTATTATTGAAATATCTTTTAATGCCGAATCCTTTCAAGCGAACGTTGAAAAAGATGGATTGTGAAGCAAGGGGCAATCATGAATTTTTTTTTTTTAGGAAGTAGCGAGACAGCGGTGTGCTGGCGCCTCGTATCTCCCATGCAAGGGAAGAGAAGTCTAGATAGGGGAAAAAATGAGTGAGAGAGGGAAAGAAGGATTACGCTTCGTGCAGTATGCTGGCCATTTGAGGCACAACTGGGAAAAATCTTGACATTCCTACCTAATCCCACCGGTTCACCTGGCAAGGCGATATAGGTGTTATCTGGTTATTCCATCACACCATTGACTCTGAGGAGAGAAACTCGTGATCGTAGACGATGAAAGAGGCATGCAAGAGAAACGCGGTCGATTGCTGCATGATACTTCAACATGGCCTCAGTCAAATCGCTCTTGGTCAGACGAGACTCAACACATTCGCGCATGATTCGGCAGCCAATTTTCATAGTCGTTTCGAAATATATTGTCCTCGTTTTGTGGATACTCGGTCCAAAGGGTTGAACTAATTCCTTATCCCGATTAGGTCCTTTTTCCAAGTCTCGGAGATGCAAAATATTGTGACGGATGAGGATGACATATTCCCGGCCGTTCCTTGGCTTTCGGCCTCTCACGCCTTCCGTCGTCTGTCCATCGTTCCTCCCTCCATAACAATATCTTAGAAAGTGCCTTCGTTCCTTGGGAGAGAATGAGGAGAGGAAATATTTAAAGCCCCTCTGTCTTTTAATTTGTATGTACAGGTACAGCATTTTGATCCTTTGAGCTCTCCCTTCGTTGCGTAGGATAATTTGGATTCCTCATAAAGTTCTTTGACCCTGATTCATTCGTGTGAATTTTTGTTTCCTGTCTTCATTTTAATGCCCCCAAAATTAACAACCATGCCGAAAGACACTTATCCCCACCCATTTTTCCTTAGAAATGCTATCAGGAGAGAGTAGACAGGTTAGGGGCGAGCGGCGACGTGCCGAGAGGACTCTCAGGAGGGGGAAGCGAAAGCGGAGCGTTTGATTAAAAAAAAAGGCGTCATAGGTACAAGGAAAAAAAATTCAAAAGCGATAGGCGCCAGTTGAAGTCGCGACGGTCCTCTTCCCCCTTTTCACTCACACAGACACACACAATCACGAGCATGCACAAGTCTGTAAGAAGCGGGAGGGAAGTCAAAGAAGGAAGAGCTGCGCGCGAGGATTCAAATTTTCATGCAAATCGGTAATTAAAGCCTCGCATTCTCTATCCCTTTGGAGACAGTAGGCAATCTTGGTGTCACTAGATCCGTGAAACATCCCTCTATGGGATAGGCACAAAAAATGTTGCATTCTTGGCAGAGAGAAGAGAAAATCGACCCGGAATGGAAGAAATTACCTAAATTGTTAAAAGAGGCCGCAGGAAAAATCGATAGGCTTCAAGGATAGTGGACGGATTCTCATGAAAATGGATATTAAGCTAGCCAAGAGACTTTTAAAGAGATCTAAGAGGAATTTTTGAAATTCAGCCTCGTTATAGAGTATCGTCCGTCAACGTCACGTCCCTTCCAAAAAAGTGGAATATTCAGGCGGATCACCGAACACTGAGGGGGAACGGTAGGAGGAAACCATGCGCAACTCCGCAAAAAGGTGGACCGTATTAGCCTCCAAAAACTGGAGCATGCTTTTGCCGATAGAAAATTTCTACGAGGAATGAGAACGAAAAAACTGAATCCGAACACAGAAAAATTCTCAGTTATGGCGGCATGGCGTCTCGGGAACGACAGTTGCCTACGATTATTTATTTTTCCCATATAGAGCTCTATGTCTCAAGGAGAATGGTGCAAATTTCACGTTTCTGCGGCCAAGGGTTGGGGAGATGGAGATTTTCAAAGAGAAACATGCAAATGTTGACCTTTGACCACAGATCATGGCCCCTGGGGTGACCTGAGAGAGCCAGCAATCGGCTCCAAGGCCCTTTCTTGAGGTCCCTTACAACAATTATAGCGCGGAATTTTGATCCAGGGGGGTCGATTTTTACATTCCCGTAGTACCTTAATTGATGCAAATGAGAAAATGAATTTGATAGAATATTGGAAACAGCACTTACGAAACGTTTTCAGTATTCGACTAGCTGGATACTCATCTGTGGCGAGGCGCACTACAGGGCAAATAAATTCCTTAGCTTCACCAGAAGTTGTTCAAAGTGATTGGGATGGAAGAATCCGCACTTACTGAAGTTGAACAGAAAGTTTTCGCGCCCATCCTGGTCCAGTTTAGCTAAAATAGAAATCAGGTGGCTTAATTCTACAAGAACATGGCGGAATATGTATGGGAAGGAGAATTCGGTTTTTACACAGATTGAACAGGAAATCTTGACGCTCTTCTGGTTCCCATTCCCCTGAAGACGAAAAAAAATTGTTTAAACCAATCGGACCATACTCTGCATGGATGAAACAGTAAAATTAGTGTTTACCGGTTCCATGTAGTAATAAACTAGTAACTTGAAATCGCGCTAAAATCGAAAGAGAAGTTGTTGAATTCCGTCAGTCCACTCCTCAAGATGAATGAGAAAGTTGAGTCTGCTCTTACCTGCTTCACTTAGAACGGTAGCAGATCCATCCGGCCCCAAACGTGCTAACATAATTTTTTATATGTAATACAACCAAGCCATAGCCAACATTGATGGGTCTGCATAATCTTCTCTTACCGATTCCACTCAACACTTTGGCAGTTGTAGTTGGAAACCACACCGCTAAAATCGAAAGAACCTTGATCAATTCGGCCAGGACATTGGTTTACATAGTTAAAACGATGGAATCCATTCTTACAGAGATCAATTAGTACCATACCAGCTCCACTCGGCCCCAACCGCGCTAAAATAAAAAAGGCTATGAATCTTGTCAGAACATCCTTAAACATTAATGAGACGGTATCCTTTCTTACCGACTTCCCTCAGTACGGTAGCAGCTACATCAATGTCCAACTCCGCTGAAATGGGAAATGAGTTGAATAATTCCGTTGCACATTGCTTGAATGTGGAGGGGAGAATGGAATCCGTTCTTACAAAGCATATTGAGGAATCCCCGAGGCTCACTCGATCCCAACTGAACTAAATTCGAAAGGAAGTTCTTCAATCCGACAAGAAATTGATCCAACAGAGATGGGAAAGTTGAATCCATACTCACTCATACATAAACCACTGAGCACTATAGCAGCTTCTTTCCTCTTCAACCCCGCTAAAATAAAAAATAAGATGTTTAATCCCGCCATACCGTAGTTAAACACATACTAAATGATGGAACCTGTTCTTACCAAATCCACGTATAACTTTCACAGCTTTAAAGTGCCCCAACCGGACTATAATATAATTTAAAAACAAAACAAAACAAGTTGTTTTTCACCGAAAAACAATGGCTCAAAACGGATGCGACAATGGAATCCGTTCTAACCTAAAGCAGATAAAACTTTGGCAGTTCCACTCCGCTGCAACTGGGCTATAAAAGATCGAAGTTGTTTAAACCCTCCGAAGCGTAGGTATTCATGGAAGAGACAGGAGAGTCCATTCTTACCGGCTCCACTTAGTATTGAAACTGATTCATCTGGGTCCAATTGCGCTAAAATCGAAAATAAATTGTTGAGTCCAGGTAGAGGATTTCATAAGATATTTCAGACGATAGGATGGTGGAATCTGTTCTTACAGAGAAGGGACAGGAAGTCTTTATGATCCTCTGCCCCTAGCCATGCTGAAACCGGATATAGTTGTTTATTCAAAAAATACCATGGCTTAACATAAATGGGAAGATAAAATCAATTCTTACCGACTCGACTTAGTAGTGTAGCAGCCTCATTCTGCCCCAACCGCGCTAAAATTGAAAGGAACCTGTATATCACCAAATGTGAAAAATAGGGATAATGGGACGTTGGGAAACGTACTTACCAAAAGCACTGAATACTGTAGCAATTTTGCTTGGCCCCAGAATTGCTAAATAAAAAAATGGTTTATTCCCACAAGGCCAATGCTACATACACGGTTTGGGCGGTGTAACCCGTTCTTACCGACTCCGCTCAGCACTCTGTCAAGATCATCAGGTCTCAACCGTACTAAAATTAAAATTAATTAATTTTATTTAATCCTGCATGACTATGGTTTCATATGTAAGGGACGCTAGAATTCAATCTTACCGACTTCATCTAAAACTGCAGCAGCTTCACCCGGCCACAACCGCGCTTATACCAAAACAAATAATTTAATTGAGAGATACAATGAAAGAATTTGACAGAATGGTGGGGTCCGTTCTTACCGAGTCCATTTAGTATTGTAGCGACTTCATCTTCGCGCCTCCTCGCTAAAAACGAAGAGTATTGACTCATTTCAATATGACCTTGGCTTAACATAGACAGGATGGTAGAATCCGTTCTTACCGATTCCACGGAGAACTGTGGTAACTCTACCCGGCCCCAGTCGAGCTAAAATTTAAAGGGAACTGATTTAATATTATACACGACATTATGGTTCATCAAGGAAGGGAAGGTGGAGTCCGTTCTTACAAAGATTAAACATGCACTTCATACGTTCCTCCTCCTCCAACCGCGCTGAAATAGAAAAAAGTTAAGCATTCTAAACACACCATGGCTCAACGCGTACATGAAGGTGGAATCCGTCCTTACTTATTCCACTCAGTAATTTTGGGGCTTCCTCTTGGCTCAATCCCTCTAAATACCGAAATTAAGTCATTCATTTCCCCAGACCACAGATCGACATTATATACATGTAGTAGAATTTCTGCTCACCAATGCCACTTCGGACGGTAGCCCAATACGACCACAACTGCACTAAATAGGAAAGAAAGACTTGTTAAATGCCGAAAGCCTTACATAGATGAAACTTGGGAATCCGTTCTAACCGACTCCAGTCTTTACTTTAGACCCCTCAATCGTCACCAACAGTGAAAATCAAAAACAAATTTTAATACTGCTGGATCATGGCTCAACATTGATGGACGGTGGAATCGTTTTTGCACACTCCACCTGGTATAGCGGCAGCTCCACCCTGGTGTAACCGTGCTAAAATGAAAAAGTTCATTCTAGCATGTTCAAGTTTCAATAAGCATGAGACAGTGGGTCCGTTCTTATCGAGTCCACCTAGTACTGTAGCTGCTTCACCTGGGTCCAAACCCGCTAAAACCGAGAGAAGGCTTACTTTTGCAGGACTATTTCTCAACATGAAAGTATATTAGAATTTATTATTGCCTTTCCCACATAATACTGTGGGATCTTCATAACTATACACTTATAGCTTCAACAGCGCTGAAATCCAAGAAGTTGCTTGCCATATTAAATCTAGCTCAAGATAGACTGTATAGTGCAACAAGTTCTTACCTACTCCACTCGTTATTGTAGCCGCTCCACCAGCCGTTGATGATACTGAAATCGAAAATAAGTTGAATATTATATTTCCACCAGATATCTCAATGTGGATGGAACAATGGAATCTGTACTTACATCGACTAAGAAGGTAATCTTTACGCTTCTCTGGCTCCAACAGAGCTAAAATCGAAAGAACGTGATTCATCCAGAAAGATGGGACCTCAATATAAAAGACATGGATAATATCACTCTTACCGGTTCCACTCAAGACTTCTCCTACCTCCCCCGGCATTAACCGGACTAAAGTAAAATTGAAATTGCTTAATTTCGCGAGACAATGAACCCAAGTGTAAGGGATGGAATAATACGTCCTTACGGAGGTTACAAAGGAATTCTTGACTCTCCTCCAGTCCTAAACGAGCTATAATTGAAGAAAAGTTGTTTAATACAGCCAGACATTTAATAAAATAGGGCTCCGACACTGATATCAGCTCTTACCGACTCCAATAAGAACTCCAATAACTTCATCTTTCTCCAACCCCGCTAAAAGTAAATATAATATGCGTACTTCTTCAGGCAATGGCTCAATTTGGATGGAAATATAGAAATCCCTCTCACCAATTCCTTTTAATATCGCAGCAGCTCCACACAGCCTCAATTGCGCTGGAAAAAAGAAAGAAAAAATTTTGATTAATTTTCCCATCCCATGGCTCAACATGGTTGGGCTGATGGAATCCGTTCTTACATATGTTAAACAGGAAATTTTGACACATATACGGCCCCAACCGAGCTGCAACCAAAAAATGTCTCGTAATCTTATGGGCTATGGTTCAACATATATGGTACACTGGACTCCGTTCTTACCTATTTCATTTACTACTTGTCTAGCTCCACCTGGCACCGACACTAAAATCGAAAATAAATTATTTAAGACGAAGGCTCAATATGGGTGGGATGCTGGAATTCCTTCTTACCAACTCCACTCAGTACGGTAGACGCTCCAGCCGGCCCCAAACACGCTAAAATCAATAAGTTGTTTCACCCCGAATGACTGAAGCTGAATAAGAATGGGAAGCAGGAGTTATTCCGAACCTATCGCATTGAGCACTCTGACGCAATCATCCGGCTCCAACCACGCTGCGATCAAAAAGATGTGTAATCCCCGCAAAACACTGGCTCAAAATAAAGGGAACAAGGATTACGTTCATACCAATTGCTTTTAAAAAAATACAAACGTCATCTGGATCCAAACCCTCTGGAACCAAAGAAAATATCTTTAATCAGGCGCGTGCATTGATCAACCTGTATGGGAAAGTGGAATCCTTTCTTACCGACTCCACTAAGCACTGTAGCCGCTCTGTTGGACCCCAGCTGAGCTACAAACGATAATTTAAAAATCAGTATTGCTAGACCATGGTTCAACATGGATTATTTTGTATCAATAGTTTTGCGTTCTCACCAAATCCACGTAGTGCAATGTCAACTTCATTTGGCGATAATTGCACTAAAAATCGATAAGGATTTGTTTATTTCTACCAGCTCATGAATCGAAATAATGGGAAAGTGAATACGTTTTATATATTTTTTATTATTCTTACCTAATCCATTCATTAATGTAGTTGCTCCACCCTGCCCTAGCCGCGCTGGAATTGTAAAAAAAAATTAATTTAATCCCTCTGGATCATATCATAAATGATACTAGGGAATGTGTCCTTACCAACTCCGCCTAGTACTGCAGCAACTCCACTTGGCCCCAATCGTACTAAGTTAAACATAAATATTTCAATGCAGCGAAGTCTTGGCTGAACATGATGGTGCATTCCGTTCTTACCCAATCCAAGTAGCACTTTAGAAGCAGGAAGTGTCCCCATCCGTGCTAAATTCACAAAGGAATTAGTCCCACTGGGCTATGCCATCATTTGGAAGGGAATGTGAAACCAATTCTCACCGACTGCACTTAGTCCTATAGCAGCTTCATCATGGTTCAGAGTCGCTAAATCGAAAGGAAATTTTTTTATTATCCCGCCCGGTCATGCCTCAACATGGTTGAGGAACATGGAAATCCATTCTTACCGACTCCGCTTAGAACTGCTGCAGCTTCTCCCCGCTCTAACTCGGCTAAAATTGAGAATAACTTGTTTAATCATCTACAGTATTTCTCAACACGAGCAGGACAGTGGAATCTGCTTTTACCGACTAAACTTAGAGTTGTTGTTGCGTCTCCCTCCCCCAACTTCGCTGAAATATAAAGAAAAGTCTATAGTCCCACTAGATCACATCTCAACATGGTTGGGATGGAAAAACGGTATTTACCGACTATACTGAATACTGAAGCTGCTCCGCTCTCCCCTAATCGTGCTAAAATAGAAAATAAGTTATTTAATCTAGCAAAACATGCCTCAAAATGAAGGGGACGGTGGAGTTTGCTCATACCAATTCCACATAGCAATGTTGCTCCATGCGGCCCTAGCAGCACTAAAATCGAAAGCATTCATTTTAGGACTGTAAATTCGATTAATTTAATCGTTCGATTAATCGACTAAAGTATTAATTACGATCTGAAAAATTAGTCGAGATTGACTTAATTTTAATAGACCCCTAATCTCCCCCTGAATGCCTCCTTTCCACTTTTAATTTTATGAATATATTAATACTTTAATCGATAAGTCGATCGATTAAGTTAGTCAAATTGACAGCCATAATTTACTTATTCGTTCTAGACCATGACTCAGTATAAATGGGATGGTGGAATCGGTTCCTACCGACTCTACGTAGTACTTCAGCAGCTCCCTTTTGCACTGTGATAGCCTCACTTGGGCCGATTTGCGCTAAAATCGAAAATTAGTCATTAAAACATGCACTCAACGGATCAAGATGAAAGTGACAGAAGAATCCATTTTTACCCATATTGTTTAGAAAATTCCGCCTGTCATCTGGTTCTAGCTCATCTGCAAAATAAACCATTAAAACTCAAAATTGTCTGCTCAAGGGGGTATGGAAATGATATGTCCTTACCAAACACTTCCAATAATTTTCCTGGTGTCGGAACTCCAAATCTGTCTGTAAAACGAAATTCATATTTGTATGTTTTGGTATGATGAGGATTGGCATTGAAAGAAAAATACGGTGTCATACCAGTTAATTTCAGGAGTTGATTGTTCTTCTGCTCCTGGAGTATTCCTGCATGGTAAATAAATTAAATATTTTAGTTGGGACATTAAATTATTTAGCACGATTGCCTTAGATTAAGGTTGGTAGAGAAATAGCTTTCTCTCTCCGACTTCCCGAGGAAAATACAATTACGCGAATTGAGTCAGAAGCATCCGAATTCATAGGAATAACTAATTTATGGAGAAGGCTTGATTAATTTTTTTCCCTCGTCTAATCTTAGTTTATTGCGGGTTCATAATCGTATGCATGGAATATCTTAGTTCCCATGTGAACCCCTTTAAGTTTATTTCTGAGGTTCATCCAATGAACTTTTCACCTTCGATGCGAAACTCTTCTTTCCTTGAACAATGTTATATATGTCCGATCGACTCCGACTCCGACCCCTAAAGCTCAACCGTTCCTTCTCCAAAGACATCGAGATCAACCAGATCATCAGCTCATGCGACCTTGCAGACTGCGGTCTGACTGAGCTGAACCACCGAGCCTTCGCAGCTGCCATTACCATCCAACAGAAGTGGCAAAGACCAGAAAAGCCGACCCCGATATCCGGGAAATGCCCTTCCTCGATTCCACCTTGGAACAGGCGCCTCCAAAGTCGGATCGATGCAGCAAGGCGAGACCTTAGCACCCTTTAAGAGATCAAGAAGGGGAACACATCCCGGAAAGTGAAACCGACCTACAAGCAGCTGCGCACCAAGTACAATATCACTTCTGATGCCGATCTCCCGACCTACATAGATAACGTGAAGATGAAGATTCAAGCATGGGCCCTGAGGATAAGGCAATACACGAAAAGGGTCAATCACTTCCGGCATAACGAGCGCTTCACGAACAACCAAAAGCTATTCTACCGGGAATTGGGAGCAAAACCCATAGAAAGGAAGAAGATCCTTGGCAGGGCGGAAGTGGAAGAATTCTGATCAAACATCATGGAGTGCCCGGTAAACCACAATGTCGATGCCACATGGCTCCGACGTCAGAGGGAGCAGACAGATACTCCCGAAATGAGTGACCCCCAGATTACAACATCTGATCTGCAGAAGGCACTCAAACAAACAGCGAACTGGAAGAGCCCCGGGCACGACCGTCTTCCGAACTTCTGGCTGAAGCAATTAACATCGTTACACGAACAACTCGCCAGAGAAATGCAGAAGGTAGTGACAGACCCCTCGGAGATGCCGGATTGGCTCACGGCAGGAGTCACCTACCTACTGCCGAAAAACGCCGAGACCCAACTACCGAAGAATTACAGGCCTATCACCTGCCTGCCAACCGTCTACAAAGTGCTGTCATCCATCCTAGCAGCACGAATCGAACGACACATATATGACAACAACATCATGTCGGAAGAGCAAAAGGGTTGTCGGAAAGGATCATACGGCTGCAAGGAACAGCTCTTACTCAACCGTATGGTCATGGACGATGCCAGAACGAGGAAGAAAAATCTCTCGATGGCATGGATTGACTACCAGAAGGCATATGACTCGGTGCCCCATTCATGGATCATCGAGTGCCTCAGGATGTACAACATCAA